AGAGAGAGAGAGAGAAAGAGATCTATTTCCAGACTATCCGATAAAAGGTGTATGATGAATCACAACGACATCATTCAAAATCATCGGACGTAATTATGCAACGAGTTGTAAATAAAACTACTGTACTGTTGTCTTCGCATTCTCTTCGCGGAAATTAAATTGGATAATATCGCTGAGATATTACTTCGCAAGTTTATAAAAAAAAACATTAATATATATTATAATAAAAAATTAAATCGCTACTTTTGACATGAATTAAAGCTATAAATATATAATGAACTTTGTTGTTTCTCTAAAAGCCGTATAGTTGAAATTCCGCATTTTAAGCTGACATTGTTATAAAGATAGATTTTCTTATTTTAATAGCAAAAATTTCGTTCATTATTAAAGTTTTCAAATTTTAGAAAGTCAAAGCAACTGCTTATCATTATTTATCATTTTAGATTTTGAAAATGTGCATGCCTTTATGCTAAACGTATATTTTTTATTAGGTATTTAAAATCTGTCTGAACTATTTATTTATCATGATGTGTTAATAGACACTTGATCATTCGACAAGTGTCTTGGTTATCTGTTACAAAGTGTCAATGGTACTCAACATTCTCTTTTACCATTCTTATCTTTGTTATAATTATTGCAATACACATCTGACTTAGCGAAAAATTCAATACAACATTGTTTATACAAATTAAATTATAGACATATAGATAAATGTAGCACGTTTTGCACGTTAATTAATTATCAGATACTAAGTAATTAAATTAATTAATCCAAAATCCTTATAATTCGTATTTTATTCTTAATATACAATTTTATTCTTTTATTCTTATTAATATACAATATAGATAAATATTCATTTAACTCAATTTATATTGAATACGAATGTCGACACGCTGTGTTTTCCCCGCGATAAATAATCGATTTTATTTATTTTTCACGAATACCCAGTTACAGTTAAATGTTTTGCAAAATACGCTGCAAAAATTTACCGATAGCGTACGTAAATTGTATGAAACTTATTGTATAATGCTTACATTTAAGTCACTTTATCTGAAATTCGCGAAGACATAATCAATTTTGTCGTTAGATATAGCGAAGTATGAATAGTTTGCTTACTAAGCTTAAGATAATCCCGCAAGCACGAATTTTATGATCGCACGAAGAGAGGAAATATTTTATCGGAACACATTCTTTTTTAGAAACTAAACTCACCCTCTTCGCAAATTATTTACCGATTTATTATTTAATATCTACACACATTTAACATTTAAGATTCAATATTTATAAGTTAGCAACATTAAGCTTCTTGATTCAGCTATGTTGTAGGTGTGTAAATATCACTACGCCGATGATATAATAATGTTGATTTGAGAATGTTATATTGACATGTGTAATCAAGGCGTGGCATTTTCACGTTGATCTTGAAAAAGATTAATTCCACAGCTTTTTCCATTTCATTTGTTACAAAGCAAAAAAAAAGATTTAGACATCGAAAATCTTTCAATATATCGTTCATCCTAAGACGTGATAGAAAATTATTAAATATATTGAAAAATAGATAAGAAAAAAAAAATCTCTCAGAAGTGCAAAATTTTCGAAGAAAAATATAAAATATATAAATAAAGTATACTATAATAAAATATAAAATTATAAACTCCTCTCTCTGCAGCAATCAATCAAAATATGTATCTTCATAGAAAATTATATTTCTAGGCTTTTACGCTGCTTTTTTCAAGATGTTGTGCAATTCAGAAGAATGAGGTACTCATTGTTATTTCTCTGCAGTTGCAATACAGAGAGAAAGTGCACCGAGGACAATAACTGTCGTTTGGACTTGTTTAATTGTGTATCTTGTATGATTCACACGTTCGATGAAATAGATGGGTCGTTACACTCGCAGATTACATACGGATAATGCAGTCTTTTACAAGTTCTTCGTCTGATGCATATCGAGAAAGCGTATTGGACATTCAAATATTTTTTTCTTACTTCTATTCAGTACAGCGCTACGTCGTGTTTCTATTTATCGTTGCAGCATAAAACTAGTAGAATTTTTATGCATCTACAGATACACTGCTGATGGGTCATGGCTGAGCTGATAGCGACAAGAAATGTCGTACATTCGTGTAGAATATAGAAGATAATATATAGTATAGTTGAGGATGTGATAAAAAAAAATGTGCCTATTTTTCTTATTAATTAAATCTTTTCTGCACTAATACAAAATCGTGTAATAACACGCAAAACAATAAAAGCTGAATTTCCTTCCTTTCTTTTATATTATTTGATATTATAAGCCATGTGTGATGTCATAAAGAACATAATTATAATTCCTAATTCTTTTAAAAATTGTAAAAATATTTCTTTTAATAGTTAAATATTTTATTTTATTACAAATTTCATGAAATATAAAGTAAATATTAGGATTAAATATAGACTGTAATTATATTACCAATAGATTTAGCAACAAAATTTTATTAGAATCGAAACATTCAGATCCCAACAAAGCAATGACACATTGTGTGTAATTGTAAATGTTTTTACACCCATAAAACGTCTGCGGTTAAAAATAAACTGCCGTCCTTAACAGTCTATACGTAGAATCGCGTTATCAGTACAAATAACATCATCCGAGAAGTTTGCACATAGTAACACCGCATAGTAATCAAGTGGAAACAAATTTATGCTTTAGTCGACAATAGGATAATTTAAATGTTAATGCAATTCTCCAAAGTTTAGAAACCTCCTTTTAAAACGGATATAAAACCAAATTTTTATTTGATACAAATTATCTGATAAAATTGATTTCATATCCGCTTGAAAAGGAAATCAAATCTCATGAATCGAGTTCAGTTAATATTCATGCAAGCATTCGGCAAAACTTTTGACGTGGATCGTATATCAAAAGTGGGCGAAAGAATTCAGCATATCATATCAGCTAATAACCAGATTACACACCCTGCCTTACATGCTATATTTACACAGAGAGAATTAGAGATTGCGGGGGCAAGGTGCACGTAAAAAACAGTATTAAGAAACATATGTGTGAGGGTCAACGTAATCTTGAGTTTTTTACAATTAAAAATGTAAACGGAGAAAAATATCAGGATTTCCAACGTATTTTTTTTTTTTTTTTTGATCGTGAGAAGAATCGTCTTGAGTGATTCAGTGTGTCTTAGTAAGCGCGATAATCCGGAAGACGATGATGTTTGCGGGACTTATCTACTTATATTATTAATTAAAAAAAGTGACAGGGCAAAACACAGGAATTTCCAATATTCTAATCGCGCGACGAACACTTTTTTTTGTATAGTTCAGTTTCGGAAAATTTACAGGAGGTGCTGGGAGGAATTTCCATTATATGAATCGCGAGTAGTATCTCTTTCTGACTTTTCAATATTTCGGTAAAATGTTAGTGATGGCTGAAAGTGATCCTGTTAATTTGTCGAATTTAATAAATGCAAAGATTCGATCGATATATGAATATTGGTAGCAAACAGATTTCTATCCTCGATAGCGTGCTAAATTTACAGTGATATTAGTTACAATGTATTGGATATTTTATGAAACTGTACTTGTATTATCCAATTACGATATATCCAATGTTGTATACAGTGTTTCAGTGTCATATTGCTAACATTTGTTCGCGGAACGGAACGCTGCCGAAGAATAGTGTGCAAGCGAGTAATGTGTATTTACATATATCCGCCGGAAGTACCGAAGTATAAGTGGATCGTTAGTTTCAGAATCGCATATAATTACGATAATGACACGTCCGATAATAAGTGCACGAAAAAAAAAAATCTATTCTTTCAATCCAAACATCGTGGAGTTTATTTTTAACGGATATTATCTCAATTTTCCTCATTATAATTTATTAAAAAAGATAATCTAAAATTGAAGTATTATTATATTAGAGAAATATGCCTGACAAATGAAGTAATTTTCATGAAAAATTATGCATCACGGATTTCTATTAAACGTTTTTCCTCGTTCTTTTATAAACGTATCTGTCTGCACACTTTTTATGATAATGCAGAAATGTAAGTATAATGAAAGCGTGTCTTTAAGGAAAATGATGCACCTGGTTTCTGTTAGCTGTATCTGCTTAATAATGAAAAATAATGTGAGGAGTGTCTCGTTTGACGTTAGTCCTGGCATTGAATAATCACGTGTTGCAGACACGAGAGAAATACAAAGCTCAAAAGCGTTTGTATTGTCTGTGTTAACATATATCTTTCGACAACGTGAATTAAGAAAATATTTATTTAATTTCGCGTAAGGATATTAGATATGATAAAATCCACTTTTATACGACGCTTTTATCTTTTGATTTTGGACTCAAATGAATTCTAGATCATTAAGGCATTTAAATGTTAAAATATTTTTTGCAGGCACATCGAGCGTTTAAGAAAATGCCCATCCTGTCCCAGCTGTCGCGCCGATTTCACGACATGTTGACAACGGATGCAAAACCAGATCCACCGCGAACCGAGATCAATAGCTACACACATAATCTTCCACCAAAATGCGGAAGACGAAGAATTGACTAAAACGCAATCGAAGTCGGTGCCCAGTACACCGGAAAAGGAGCAGAACGATGTGTCGTCGATGCGGAGGCAAAAATCGATGCCAAACGACGCGAGGCCGACGACACCCACCGATTTTAATTTTACAAAACTGGAAGACCTCGGCAACACAAGGTCGACAAGCGAGTCGAAGGAATACAAACGATCAAAGACGAAAACGAAACCGAAGTACAGCAAATCTTGTAAGTTGTAATAAGAAAGAATATTATTGTAGCTATGTAGAGAGAAAGAGGGAGAGAGAAAGCGATATAATTTTTAACGTAGTCATGCATTTTATTTCGTATTCGTGTATTTTTTACTAGACTTCATAACTTTTATCTGAAAAATTTTTCCTTACTGCGAGCTATTCTGAAGTTTTATTACAGAAGTTTTTTTTGCCTGACAACGGAAGAGAATATACGAATATTTTCACATATGAAATATATTTACTTCTTTACATGAATAAGTGATATGATAAAATATCAAAATATTTGTAAATTTTTGAAAATATTTCAAATGTGATCTGATACAATGATTTTACGATAAGAATTAATTGTATAGAAATAAGCTTCATTACATAAATGAAAAGAGAACACGATGCGATTGTGATTACGCAATGTTAAATAGGCATTTCGGTAGGTTGATGTAAGAATTTGAATCTACTTAACGATGATACGGGAGAATTATCAAGAAATCAAGTGATGTCGCGCAAATACCGCGTTTTTATCGAGTCAAATTAAGTAAACGAAATGAAAATACCTGCTTTATATCGTTATATCAATCTGTCATTGTCCAAATATTGTTACATCTGAGGTACATTTCTCGTACGTTATCGTCAACAAGTGTGTAAAATGCACGGGGAATACCAAATTGCATACAGATTGAATAATTAATTTAATAATTAATTATTTAGAAGTATTAAAAAAGGATAAAAGATACCATTTTTAGTTGTTATGTATTTTAATGTTCGATTCGTGAAAATCCACAGAATAAATTATATTTCCAGTCGCGAACAAAACACTAAATTGCCCATGAATCGGTGATTCGGGAATTCATATCATGAAATTTTTTACGAGATATTTTTATCATCGTGGCACAATAATCATAATAGCTACCGAAATTTTATAGATCGTGCAAATCTTCAACTGCTTCAAATCTCGGGATTATTCGCGATAGGATAACTAATACGACGTACGCAATAGTACAATATTAAAACAGATTGAGCGATAGTATCAGGGAGCTTAAAGCTCGTTATCTAGACCTAGTTACATGATAACTATTCAGATACAGAAGACAAGAATTTTTAAAATTGTCTAATGATTGATTGGATTATTGTATTCAAGATAATTAATATTTAATATAACTATTTAACATGCAAATGCAAATGTGGATAGATGCGAGATTTCGTGCGAAAGATTATTTAAACAAATTTACAATTATTATCAATATTTCTTCAATAATTCTCTGAAATCAATTTTCAGCACAGGGCACGAGTATTGTAAATTACAACATAGTCAATTCCAATGGAGTGAAGATTGGCTCACGCACGAGTTACATTTGCAATGTAAATCAGTACCCGACGAACAATAACGCGGCGCAGTCTGAGACTTCCCAGTCGAAGCCCAAGTATCGGCCGATGCCTGAGAACGTGGAGGAATTGAGCACGTGCAAGGAGGAGCTCGCGTTTGACGACATGTTCATTATCAAGATACACGTCGGGCATGGATGGCGGGACGTCGCGAGAAGACTCTCGTATTCGGATGGTCAGATTGAACAGTTCGAGGAAAATTACAGACACAAGGGTATCGACGAGGTAAATGTCGAACTCTCTAAAAATCAAATGTCCCGAATAATTTATTATCACTCTCCATTATTATCAATTTGTAATTTTATTTAAGCAAAAGAATATTCGAAATTTCATCGGCAAACTCGATTACTAGCAAAATGTTATGTATCATTTGTGTACTTAAACATTTCATAAGAATTTAAATGATTGATCTTTCATAAAAAAAATACATATTAATAACGAGCAATTTATGTTCATGTTCATTTTCATTTATGTAAATTAATTTTAGGTAATCTATCAGTTGCTGCTTGATTGGAAGCAAGCCAACACACGGGATGCTCAACTTGGCACGTTAGTTAGCATACTGTGGTCATGTCAAGAATATGATTGCGTCGAGCGACTAGTTGCAGCTCGCAAAGATCCATCTTAGTCGGACGCGGCAAATTTCTGCCTAACACTTGTACATACATGTACGAATAATTGTGATTTTTTTTACTAGTGATAGCATTCCATTGTTTTTGTACATACTATATTTTATCGCGTAGTTTAGACACCTGGTATATATACCACTCTGATTGTGAAGGTCGTTCGCATTCGCCTATGTCGAATCGGCCGTTAGGCCGATTCGCATTCAGCATTTGATTTCGCATTGTACGGAATAACAATGAGTTCACGTTTCAAGCAGGAATATGATCTGATTAATAATATCAGGATATTTAAAAATTAACATTATTTTATATAATGCACATATTATACACGTAATATTTTATGTGTATGTACGAATATATATTCTTTTTATATTTTTTCCTAATATATTCTGTAAAATCTGGCAGGAATAAATATGCAATTTTTTAAGTATTATATATTTCTTTCATAAAAGTCCATACACATTTGAAACACACATTCAAATCAAACGATGCATACATCTACATCTACATCTAATATATACAATAAATATAACATTTTATCTTTACTATTTTAATTCAATCTATTTATATCCTTGTGTTTTTTCTTCTAATCCTATTTAATTCTTATATTTAAATTAATATATATTATATTTAATTATAATATATTTAAGTTAATATATATTTGATATGATTTTACAATTCTTTTCTGAAGAGAATTATAAAAATTTTCAGTCACAATAATTGGAGCGATTCTCCTTTGGAACATTTTACAACATAATTACAAAAAAAAAAAATGCTGGATACATAAGTAAAGTTTGAATGTAATATTCTATAATATAATCGCTTGCACTTTTCTAACATTCGAATTTTTTAAAAAATTCTTATCCCACACATATCTTTGTAAATATGCAATTATATTTCTTAATATAAAATTTAATACTAATGTTATTTTGTACTCATTCACAAAAAATTTAATAAGTTTACCTAATAAGTCTAATTATTTTTACAGAGAAATTAATTAAAGGCATATTAAGAGAATCATTAACAATTTTAACAAACCAATTAATCAACCAATTGATCAATAAGTAAATTAAATATATATAAGATGATTAAATATGTATCAGAAATTTAAATCAGATACAAATCTTTTGTTATAACTCAAAATGCACTAATTAAATTAATGTGAATATGAAATTCTCTAATATGAATTATCCTTATCAATTAATTATGTACCATGTTAATCAGAAAATTTCTATAGTAAGAAATAATACATAC